GTAGCCCTCCCCACCCCCCACCGGACACAGCAGAGGTCTAAACCTCACGACCTCCCCTCTAGATGGGAGCAACACAAAGAATCGACGTTTCATGCACCACACCAAGCACACGCAGAAAGGCTAAGAGTTTTAAAGAACAGCTTACAGGGGGAAAGCTACCTCCAGCAAACAGAAAGTCGTAGGGTCAGAATCGTGCTTATGAAAGGTTGTTAGGATGAGAAGGCCTGTGTGTGTCGTGAGAGTGTGTGTGTGTACATGGGTCTGTACTCGTAGTACCTGTCTCCTACAGCTGCTTCTCCACCAGGGAAGGAAGGTGAGAACCAGGACAGGGGCATGGAAGGACACCCCCCCCAACTGTCTCCTAGTGAGGGGTAAGGACTGGGGGTGACACCTACTCTCTGGAGCTTGAAGACATTATTCATATATTACGACATCATAATGCTCGGTGGGCAGGACCATAGCTTACATTTCTTCTGCATTCTGTACAGTGCTTGGTAAGTGCTCGGCACATGCTACGCACTGCGTTATTGCTGGACTGGTTTCTACACGTAATTTAGGCAGATTCTGGTCCCAGCTCCGTCACCTTACTGGGCTCTAGCTGGATATGGCCTGGGCCAAAGCCTGGGCCTCTCCGTGGCTCAGTTTCTCCATGAGGCTACGATCCCCGCAAGCCTCCCGGCTGTCCAGAGGGGCAGGAGGAGCCGTGAGGGCATGTTTACAAATTCTGCTCTTTGAGAAGCTGCCGGGCCCGAGTCAGTGGCTGATATGATAGCTGTAGCGTGTTTGCTCTCTTTACAAACAGAATGCAAATGCAAAAGTGGCTGCCTCAGCTCTGGCTGGGCACCCGCAGGGCAGGGCCCAGGAGTGAGGTGTGCTCTGAGGGTTTGGAGAGGTGTTCAGCAGAGCCCAACACAACCAAGTGCACCGTGCACTGCTCCTCAGCGCCAAGCTCGCCGTTAGCCTTGGAACCTCAGCTCACAGAAGAGTGCACACGAGAGAAATAAAAGCCCATTCCCAGGTCAGGTGCACACACAACCCCTACGCCAAGCTGGGCCTTACCTAGAGGAGTCTGAAACTCACCACTGTCCTGAGCTACGGCAAAAGAAAAATAATAGTATAATCTTATTTGATCTGCATTATGAACAGGATATAGAGCACAAGCAGTTCCATCACAGAAAAGCAATTGAGACATCGGCAGTCTGTTTCACTTTAAGGACGTTTCTGTGACCCACAGCTCAATCTTTCTTTTGCTGCTCAGGGAAAGTGCTAAGGGTGTAGCAGGGTCCCGTTATTTATCGTCACGGCACTCTCCCAGGCAAATTAATTCTCCAATATGGCAAAGGGAAAACAAAACAAAACAAAACAAAAAAAAACAAAACAAAGACTCACTGTATAGCCAGAAGGCATTATCAATTTTTTCAAAGTATTCTTCTACTTGGTCATCCTAGAACATAAACTATTACACAGGGGACCGTTAGCACCGCACGGGAAGTGTCTGTACCGCAAAAGCATCAGCGTTCACTGTGCATTCTCCCCAGTGGCTCGGAGGCCTGGGACCCCTTGGGTCCCCGAGGAAAGGCTAACCGGCAGGGCCACTACTGGCCAGGCCGCAGTTCATGGCTGTGACTGGGCTATCGGGGAGGGCAATGGGCTCTAGTCCAACCACAGAAATACATGGCTTTGCTTTATAAAAAGAGTGCACAAGTATTTAGAAAGGGACAGTGGGGACAAACCGAATCAAATTCCCATTTACTGGTTGTCTTGGATTATAACCGCCCCTCCTCCATCCCTGGAGACCTCCCCTCCCCCACCCACCTAAGCACCCCCAAGACTGAAAGAAAGTGGAATTCCACAGTTGGGGCTGCTCCCAGAGTCTGCCCAAAAATACTGTTTGGGCAGTATTTTGAGGAGGGTCCCCTCCTGACCAGGCAGGAGCCGGGGGAGACAAGCCTGCACAATGCTGCCAACACTTGACTCCCTGGGTCCTGGGTCTCTCCATCCCACACCCACTTGGGAGAGTCACACCACCCCTCTGTCAAGCTGTGAGTTTCAAAGGTCAAAATGTATTAAGACAAGGTTTTCTCTCCTTGTATTAAGTAAAATGTAATTTTTCATTCATTTAAATTACACAATCATTTCAGCTAAACATGAACAATTCTGCCTTGAAAATTGTGTGTCTCTGTGCCCAATGACATACGATTCTTTCTCTTTCCTAGACCATAAGTGCCTCGTGAACAGGGGCCCTGATTACGGAATCACGGGGATGATTAAATTCTGGTCAGGGCAGGACATAAACTTCCTGAGGGTGGAAATTCAGTTTTATTCCTTGTTTGCCCTCCAGCACCTAATCAAGCCAGACGCACAGTACACTGGATAATAACTGATTAGTCTCACTTCAGACCGGAGGGCTTCCTGCAAATATTGGTTAATTATGATGCTAACTGTCTAGGTCTTTGTGGGGAGGAATTTGTGAATCTGCGACTGAAAACGTCAGCTCTCAGTAGGGAGATCCCAATTCCAGTATCTGGGAAGGCATAAGGCACGTCTGCAGGAATACAAGAGGCACATGGGCCTCGCATGGAAAACGCCGCCTCCTGCCTGTTCAAACCGGCAAGGTTCCAGTATTTGGGGTGGGGTGTGGATGAAGTGGTTATAATGCTTATTTAAAAGATATGTGGCAAATCACCTAAAAAAACAGAGATGGTGAAGTGCAGTGACAGTGTAATGATTTACACTGGGGGACACTAACCCAAGTCCGTTAGCATCAAGTCTGAATAAAACTCAAGCAGCGTAGGGTGAGTCCACCCCTGCGTGCTCAGATGCCTCAACATGCCTTCCTGCTGGCCTGGAGTCCTGAGTTGTTTGTACAATGGATTCTCCTGCTGATGTCTGCTGACCCCCTTGAGGTCAGGTCTAATTCATATCCAGGTGAAGGCAGCAGAGGTGCCTGCCTAATGCCCCTCATGCCAGGCTCTCCCTCTCCATGACCCCAAAACCTTCAGGGGAGGGGGCGGGGTAAGGATGGGGAGAGGGTGTTTAATAACAACACAGTAAAAGGTTCTGTACTTGCTTTCCTTACTTGAGCCCACCGGTGGGGACAGTGTGGCATTTCTTATGCTCCAGCAGCTGTTCGGGGGTCTTCATGAACTTGTGGCACACGTCACACTCAAACATCCGGGTGATGAGGTGTATCTGCAGATGGCGCTCAAACATGTTCTTCGTCTTGCAGACAAAGTTGCAAAAAACGCATTCGAACCCTGGAAGGACCGAAGCTGGGTGTACAGGTGCATGGGGCAGAGGGACAGGAAGGCAGGAGCAAGGCCAAGATCCTCTTTCTTCACCCCTCCCCCCGTTTATGCCCTTCCAGATGCTGTTCTCTGCACCTCTGCGCTAAAAGACGTTGAAGCTTTGGAGTCAGTGTCACACTCCCCATCCTTCCATCCCATTTTGGGTGCAAATCAAGACAAAAGGAATGTTCTTGGACCTAATATCTATTTCCAACATCACCCCTGACAAGGGATCATTCTTCCAGAGTGGGGAGGGTTAAGCAGGACACCCGCCTCCTCTCTTACCTTTCTCTGGCTTTTCTTCACTATTCAGTGAGGGCTGGCTCCCGGGCATGACAGAGATGACCAGCAGGTTGTTCCCGCTCTTGTTTTTCTGGGAGCTGTCTGAGTCGTCCTTGCTGTTGGCTGAATCACTTAGAGCTGAGAGGGAGGATGATGAGGGGCTATTTGATTCACTCGGGGTCTTCCTGTCTTCCCCTAAAAAAATAATAAAACCCAAGTCTGTTACTTAGGAGATGTAAACCCTAGAATAACAGCAGTTGGGATGTGTCTCATGGCTACATCATCACCCAGGGAACACAAGCTGAGGTCTCCAGCTCCTCCAGTACACCCACTGGGGTTCCAGTCATCTATGGTGATGACCCTCATGGTACCTGGGGCCAAGAGCAGGCTCTCATTCATTTGAGGAGTGTTTATGGAGGTCTTGTAATACTTAAAATAAAATGACAATAATAGCAAAGTTGTATTGAAAACATTACCGAGTTCCAGATACTGAGTCATGCTTTAAATGCTTTGTCTCATTTTATTCTCTCAAAAAGCCTGCTGAGGTACAATTATTATTATTGCCCTCATTTTACAGATGAGGGAAGGGAGGCAAATGAGGTTGGTCAGTTGGTCTGACCCATGTTCTTCATCAGCTCACTGAATTCTTCCTCAAAGACAGGAGTAAACAGTCAATAGATCATTAAAATCTAGTGTCAGTAGACTTTTGCTTCCATTCAAGATATGTATCAGAGATGGAATTTACCATTGCTACTGAAACAACTAAAAGAAAACAAACACACAGACAAAACATATCAAACAATAGTTTTCACAATATTGGACATCAGGCAATGAAGAAGAATGATCCCTGAGAGGTAGGAAAAAATTGCCCTACATCCTGTTTTGAGAGACCTTCCAGGTTGCAGTGTAGGGAGGGGTATAGAGGTGGAGTCCGACAGATCTGCTGATTTGAGGAGATAGAGCTGAGGGTCTGGGAAATCCACATGGTTGGACCTTGCAGGACAGAGTACCAGAAAGGAAGAACTCAGAGACCTGCAGAGGGTCTCCTGTGAATATTCAGCAGAGTATGGGTCAGAGCATGTGTTGGAGGGAAATCAAGCCATCTGAAAGGCTTAGAGAACAGTGCCTGTTTCCACCAGCCACATTGGAAAAAACTTATAATTTGCCCTAGATGGAGTAATGCTCCAGAGCTGTCTGACAAGTCATAAAAGCAAGACTCAAGAGGATCAAAGTTTCCAAGTAATTACCTGGTCAAGAATATTTATAGGAATATAAAATATCTGGCACTTAATAAGGTAAAATCACAATGTCTGACACCCAAATAAAGGCTCTCAGGCATGCAAAGAAACAAGAAAACACAACCCAAATGGGGAAAATAACAACCAATGAAAGCTAACCCAGTTGTTGGAATTTACAGACAAAGATCTAAGCACAGCAATATAACTGTATTCCATATGTTCAAAAAGTTAAGTAGAGAGATGGAATATGTACACTTGATCTTATCCAAAAGGCAGAGAAGCAATGATGGAAGATAAAAAAAAAAAATCCAAATCAAATTTCTAGAGATGAAAATTACAATGTCTGAGATGAAAAATATACTGGATGGGATCAATAGCAACTTAGACACAGCAGAGGAAAAGATTAGTGAACCTGAAGATAATAGCAATAGAAATTATCTGAGACGAAACAGAGAGAAAAGAATCACAAAAAGATGAAGAGCATCGGTGAACTGTGGAATGCCTTCAGGCAACTTAGTGTAAGTTTAACTGGTAGGGAGAGCAGAAAAAACACTTGGAAAGGCCAAAAACTTTCCAAATTTGAGGAACATCGTACATCCATTGATCCAAGTAGCATAATGAGTCCCAAGCATATGAAAGACAAAGAAATCTATACAAGGGACATCATAATTAAATTACTCAAAACCAGTGATAAATAAAAAGTCCTTAAAAGCAGCCAGACAAGATTTAAGATGTGCAGAGGAACAAAACTAAGAATGACAATAGATTTCTTACTGGAAACAATGCAACTGAGAAGTAGTGGAAAAACATCTTTAAAGTACTGAAACAACTATGAAAAGGTATTTCACAAAAAAAGGCAAAAAACCCCCCAAAAACTGATGTAAAAAAGTTGAAAGAATTCATCACCAGCAGACTTGAATTACAAGAAATGTTAAAAGAAATTCTTCAGGCAGAAGGAAAATGACACCCAATGTAAAAATGGATCTACATAAAAGAATGAAGAGAACTGGAAATGACAACCACATGGGTAAATGTGTGAGTTTTTCTGATGATTTAAATCTCTTTAAAAAGTAATAAAATGAATTTTGTTTTAAAAAAACAGTAATAATGTAAGGTTTATAACACATACATATATGAGAACAATAACATAGTGGCTGGAGGGAGAGAAATGGAAGTATGCTATTGTGAGGTCTTACACTACGTGTGAGGTGGTATGGTACACTGTGGTAAATTAAAGATGTACTTTATAAACCCCAAATAACTGGAGACATATAAAATTCATGGTTCAGGAGACTCAATATTGTTAGGACATCAATTCTCCACAAACCAATTCAATGAAACCTCACAGTTTTATGTTAGGGTAGAAAATACAGGGAGACTGTGCTGCAGATCCAAGGAGTGGACTTATCCTACTCTACTTAAATATTTCCTTAAAATTAAATTAAAAATTAATATTCTGCTGGTTGATTTTCTTCCCTACAGATAAGTCCCCAGAAGTGGGATTACTGCGTTGCAGAGCATTACATTCTGAAGCCCCCGCGCATATATACCTAAGTAGTTTCCCTAAGTTCTGTAACTTTGCAGGGCCACAGGCACAAGAGTACCAGCAGCGCCCGGCAACAGTGGAAAACAGTATAAAAGGTGCCCTTAATCTTAATAGGTTAACATAAGCCACTCTTGAGTTTTATTTTGCTCCGTGAGGTTGAACATTTTTTCCTTATGTTAAGCAATTAGCTTTTATTTCTTTTACTGTGAATTGACTGGTCATGTTCTTTCCAAAATCTTCAATTAGAGACCTAAAGTGTTTCTTATCAGTTTATATAAACTTTCTATATAAATATATTAGCTTTTTGTCATTTTTACAAACACATTTTCAGAATGTGGTGGGTTTTTTTTGGTTTTCCTTCTCTTCTTACTTTCTTTTGCAAAAAAAGAAATTTTCATGTGTCACATGTCTTGATTCCTTTCCTTTGTGATTTCTTGTTAGCCCTTAAGCTTTTACAAACCTCCTTCATTGTGTTTGATGAATATTCTATTCTATTTTCTTCAAGCCTTTCTAGGGCAGACTGTAAACAAGGACTGTGTAAGTTATTTTGGTGTCAGTGTGAGGTAAGGTATTGATGGTTGTATATTCCAAATAGCTATTCAAATTTCTAAATGCCATTATCGCAGCGTTTAAAAATGGCAGCAAAATTTGCATTGAGGAAGTCACAGCACCAGAGGGAATATTTTCCCCTGGCTGATGTTCTCTGCAGGGACAAGGAGCTGGGAGTGGGAGAAAGAGAGCGAGGAGGGGTCACGCAGAAACACCTAAACAGAGGCCGCTCAGCACCCCATTCCCAAGCGTGCCTTGGGTGAGAGTGGCCTGTAAGGAAGCGTGAGGAAGCACGCGAGGCCTGTGGATGACCAAATAAAAATGTTCTGTTGATGAAAGCTCATCCTGTAGATCACAACTTCATTTAGGCAACCAGAGAGCACTGCAGATTCCCTAGGGCACTGGAATAAAGGGTGCCTGTTCCTGTGACAGGTAAATCAAATTAGAGAACAGGACTCACAAAATTGGAGATTCATAGTCCAAGTTCTTTCCAGCCATTGTGGTTTCTATGGTTTTCTTGAGGTAGGGTGGCGGTGGAGGGGGCTGTGCAGTGGAAAGGGAGGAGAAAAGGTCTGGGCTGGGTTTAGGCATACTTTGGGGTGGAGAAGGTTAGAAGAATGGAATATAACAGAAAAGAGAGAGAGAGAGACAAAAAAAAAGAGTATCTGAAAAGCCCATGGAAACGGGAGAGAGGCTGGCCTTTCCCTCCATTAGCCACTCCAGAAATGCTGGATTTAATTTGTCTTCGACGTGGGTTTCCCAGCTCACCTGCTGCCCACGGTGCTAATGTGGTTATGGTCAGACAACCGACTGTAAAAATGGCACCTTCTCACTCAGCAGAATGGCTCTCTGCAGACCTCCAAGTCAGAGCTGCTCAACTTACTGACAAAAACAAGCTTTTATTGCTGTTGGCACCATGGAGCCACAGCGGCCAGGAAAGCACAGAGAGATCCTTCTCGGCCATGCACATCGTCAGCACAAATGTCAGGGAAATTTCCCTTCCTGAGTCCTAAAAGTGCCAATGATGTGAGGGGCCGACCCAGCACCCAGGCCTGCAGTCAGCAGCCTCAGCTTGTAATTTGTAAGCACTGCAAACACAGGAGCTCCTCCTCATTCTCACATAATGACTCCTGGCCGGCGTCATTTGTAACCATCACTTGCGAGAGGATAATTGCACGGCGAAGTCAAAATGTTAACATCATTAAATGGAAGAAGTTAACCAGAATGGCAAGAGTCTGAAATGAAAGGCGAGCACTGGCAAAGTCTTGGCCGTGGTCCGGGGGAGTGACTGGGATGATTCGGGGGAATCTGGTTTTCTCTGTCCCTGAACAGACCTGTCACTCGTGATCACGGAGTGGGTTGGGGCTGCAGTGCCCCGCGAGGAGCACAGCCGGCAGGGGTAGGTGTGCAGTGCCCTGGCCCAGCAAAACAGAGAGGTCCAGCCTTTGCCAAGGGTTGGGTGGGGCTGCCAGAGCAGCAGTGATACAGAGAGAAGGCTCTGGAATGAAAACTGTTCGGGTCTGAGTTTCTGGAGTCATGTCCTATTGTTGATCTTGGACAGAATCCCTCACCTCTGTGGAGCCTCAGTTCTCAGCCTCTATAGTATAAGAGCAGGACTGACCTCGGAGGGTCGTTATGAGGCTTACATGGGACCCAGGGTGCCAAGGTGCAAGCGCGGGGCACTGGGAGAGCGTAAAGGCTGTTACCATGATGATGATGACAAGCAAACAGCTCGGCACCGCTCAACCATCCCAGCGTGTGGGCGTTTCAGCCCGGCCAGTGCACAGGGGAGCGTGGCCCTGCTCCCTTGGGAAGGTCTTCCTCCTCTGGGAGGGAATGTCAGTGTCACGTGGGGATGAGTATGCTTCTGCCAGGTGGGCAGGAGTCTGGGGTGGAGGGAGAAGGAGGAGAGAAGGGCCGCCAGGAATGGTCACCTGTGTGCTTGGTGCCAATGTGAGCCTTTATCTCTGCCTCCTCCATGGTGACGAAGTCGCAGGTAGTACAGCAGATGGAGAACATCCACTGCTCCTTGTCCACGTGGAGGGACATGTGGCTGACAAACTGGACGTTGAGCTCGGTCTCAAATCCACACACGTGACAGCTACGTGAGAGGATGAAGGAAGGGGGGAAGAGAGGAGTGACATTCTAAGCGCGGGCCACCCATCACACCCAGTTCACGCAGAAAACGCACCGGGGCGCACTCCCCTCCCCACCGGGCGGCTAGCATCGGGAAATCCTTCTGCATTCCGGGAAGCCCCGAAGTCGTCACCGTGCTAAACAGATTTAGTGCCCGCATAATGTAACAATCCCATACATGCTATAATGATGCTAAATAATCACAGAGTTAATTAAAAATTACAGATTCCAGATGCTGCACGTCTCCTAACGGATTCCTTTGGGCAACGGGATGCAGTGCAGCCAAGATGTGAGCGGCTGGTACACGGAGCAGCTCGGAGAGCCCTGCACACCCGCGAGCCTCCCGCCGCCTCGGGAAACCTCCGTGTGGCAACGAGGGCACACACAGGTCCTTGGACAGCACTCCTGCCCGCGACAATTCCCGACAGAAGCCGCCCATCCATGGAGACATGTCATGCAAAAGCAAGTTTCTCCCAATCCATATGGCCTCTCTCATGGGCAAGATTTGGTAGAAAGCCTGAAACTTGGGGTTTTATGGCAACCAAACCAAATACTGATTTATGGCTGGAGTGGGAGAAAACCATAAAATTCCAGGTACTAAAGGACAGAACACGACTCAGGGAAAATAAGCTCTGCCTTCATGGCTCCTTCCTCAGGGTTCTCAGGTTTATTTTTCCTAGTCTATTTTCCTTAGGACACTTCTCAGGAAGCAGCAAGGTGCTCGGTTACAAAGGTGGGAGCTTGCCAGCTGCCCAGACCTAAAAGCTAGTAACCCCCAGAGCCCTGCTGCTTTCTGGAGCTCCACCCCTGAGAGCCACTTCTAAGGCCATTTTCCTTTCCATTCATTCTACCAGGGCATCCAAGCCAGGAGAGGAGTCATTGCAACTGCAGGGTTCCATCTAAGCCAAGCAGCTATGAAAACGCAGGTCAGCGTGTCCACTGAGCAGAGGTGCCTGGTCACATCTGCCTCGCAGGCGGGCAGGGATGTTGGGAAGGCTGGACTACCGGCTCCAGCCGCAGCTCACCTGTAATAATAAGGGTGCTTCTTCCCGTCACTGCCTTCAGAGGTGACGGCGCTGACAATGTCCTCAGTGTCCGTACTCACCAGCTTCACCGAGTGGACGGTCAGGTGCTGGTTCAGGTTCGCACGACACTTAGCAGCGTAGGGGCACAAATGGCATTTGTATTTTCTTTCCTCTGGGGGAGAAAGGGCAGGAAAAAAACCCCAGCTGATCTCAGAAATGAAATCCCAACATCGTGCAAGAGACCACTTGAGGGTATCCAGGAAAGGGGGGGTTCAAGTCCCATTTCAAGTGGGGACAAAGACAAAACCTTGGAATTGTAAATATCTAAAAAGTCTGTACCCAGCAGGTCATTCCTATACTAATACTTCCAAAGACAAAAGAAAGTCCCAGGGCCATTGGAACATCTGTTTTTTCCTGGACACCCACAGGCTAAGACAAGCTATAAGCATATTAGTGTGTGTGTGTGTGTGTGTGTGTGTGTGTGTGTACACGCCTCCACGTGTGTAAGGTGTGGGTAGGTTCACAGGACTGGTGTATAAAGGAAGCCCCATCACTTTCCCTAAGTTCCAGGCCTGGGTCAGCCAAGAAATAAAAAACAAATGAAATGAAAGGAATAAAAAAATGACTCGTGTGAAATAATTGAATTGGAAATTTACATTTTACATAAATAAAGTAAAAAATTTTGATTAATTCCTTAATGGAAACTCTCTCCTAAAACTGACAGTATTTCAGACTGTTTCCAGAGTGGCCGCCTGAATTCATCTGGTTAATCAAGCAAATTAAAGTGAAAGGAGCAGCCTTTGCTTTCCCTGTACAGACAGAGGGAGTGGACGGTAGTGGAAGGCTAGCACGACTTCGTTTTCTATCCTTAAGGTCCTTACTTTGCAATACCAAGCTTGCCTTCAACAAGAAAAATGCCTGTCTTATCTACTTCACAGGGAGGAGCACAGAGGAGTTTTTGTACAACAGTCAGGCATCATTATTGTTATAGGTGGTCCCCAACACTCGGGAAAGGGCCCTGTGGTCAGATACAATAGGGTCCTCTCTTTGGAATTTTTGCATTGGTATTATTAAGCAAGGTTTTTAATTTTGGTATTAAAGTGAATTGCCGAACTTTCTTTTTTTTTCCTTCTATCATTTGGAAAGGTTTGATAATACTGGAATTTCCTAGTCTCAAAAGGTTTGAAAGAACCAATCTGGACTTGACACATTTATCAACAATAGAATGAATATCTTTCATCATCTTTCCAAATTTCTCTTTGATAACTGATTTACTTAAGTTTTTTTCTTCCCCTCTTGGGTCAATTTTGGAAGTTTTGCTTAAATTAGTTATGTCATCTAGGTTTTTAGCACTCCCACTTCCATTTTGTTCCTTTTTACCATGGAGTTGCCCTTATTCTCCAATAATTCTTTTTTTTTTTTTTTTAAATATGTCTTTATTGATCTCAGGGAGAGGAAGGGAGAGGGAGAGAGAGGTAGAAACATCAATGATGAGAGAGTCATTGATTGGCTGCCTCTTGGGTATGTGTCCTGACAGGAAACCGAACCTCGATCTCCTGGATCCTAGGTTGATGCTCAACCGCTGAGCCACACCCAGCCAGGCCCAATAATTCTTTAATAGCATTAATGATTAGGCCTCCTTTTTTCAGTCCCAATTTTTAATACTTTTGCTTCCTTTTCCTTTCTTAATCAAGGTTAAAGAAATTTATCTATTTTGTGGTCTTTCTTTTCCTAGGCTTTATTTTTCTTTTACTAGTTCTCTAAGATGAGTGCTAAGTTCCGTTTTGTCTTTCTTCTCTTCTAATTGAAACATCTAAAGTCTATGAATTGTCCTTTGAGCAGAGCTGTAGCTGTTTGTTCAGGTCTAGGTATGAAGTGTTCCCCTTTTTGTTCCTTCTAGATGCCTATACTTTGCATTTAATTTTCTTCCTTTTCTTTGACCTGATTAGGCAGGACATTTTATTGATCTTTGGTTATTCTAAATTTCATGTAATTATGCACAGAGCATCTGGCCTGTAAAACCTCCACTTTTTTGAACACGTTAGTTTTCTTTGTGCTTAAGTACATGACTAAATTTTGTCTAGTGGTTTACTATTTAAGATTAAAAATACTGAAAATATATATAAAAAAGAAAATTAACCTTGTCATGTTAATACTGCCTGTCCTGCCTTCTTTTTCATTTCATGTGATATGCAAAACCCCTATTTATTTTCTTTATCATTTTGTTTGGCATTTCCTATAAATAAAATACATCTGAACTTTTAAAAAGCCCGATCTTCAGTGTAAAATTGAAAACTTCATATTATTATTTCCACCTTGTTTTATGTTTACAATTGATTTTTCCATATTTCTTTTTGTCTTCACTTATTTTTGCTGCATTAAGTTAACATGTGTTCCTCCTTTAGTCATTTTTTTTTTTTTTTAATCCTCACTCAGGGATATTTTTTCCCTTGCCTTTTAGAGAGAGTGTGAGGGGGAGAGAGAGAGAGAAAGAGAGAGGGAGAGAGAGAGAGAAACATTGATGTGAGACAGACACATTGATTGGCTGCCTCCTGCATAAACCCCGACCAGGGCCAGGGATTGAGCCGGCAACCGAAGTACGTGCCCTTGACTGGAATTGAACCCAGGACCCTTCAGTCCTCAGGCCAACACTCTAACCACTGAGCAAAACCTGCCCGGGCTCCTCCTTTACTCTTTAACTTGCTTGCTTCCCCTCTCCCAACACACAGAATCAACCATATTTCTCTACTATTGCATGTAAATAAAGATAGTAACTGTTCCTCCACCAAGGTGCTCTGTGTCCCTCCTGCTCATACCTAAAATTAAGATGAGCCCAATAAGATGGGGTACAGCCCCATCTCCTGTGCCAACAAGAGCAATAAATTCCTTAGAGTTGAGGAATTTTACCCGGATATGCCTAAACATGTTTCTTATCTCATCAGTCCTACTTGAACTCTATGAGTCCTTTCAATACAAATAAAAAACCCTTTCCGGGGCCTTGTTTGAACATGCCAGGTCAAATGGCTTGAGGAGGTCAAGCCATTTGATAAAAACATTCCTACCACTTCTTGTCATAATTCTCTTAGAGAAACTCAGCTTCTTGATAATAGAGAAGCTGGTGATCCAGACCAGGGAAGGCAGAGCAGTGAAGCCAACTCACCTGTGTGCAGCGAGAGATGTCGGGACAACGTCTGCTGTCGGCCAAAGACTTTCCCACACACGTCGCAGGGGAAAAGCTGGTCACTGAATTTCCAGGATGGCAGTCCATTGCCTGCCTCTAGTACTAGCTTTTCTGTTTCTGGATCAAAAGAACAAAGCATTGTGAGGAATAAACAAGGCAACATGAACAAATTTCAGTTTAGTCAACATTCAGGATGTAAGCAGAGGCTTCCTTCTAAGAAAGTGGCTGGTAACTGCAAGTAGGTCCCAGTAACCTCTGGTCTTCATGCTCATTTGCTATCTCAGAGGAGGCTATTCTTGAATGTTGTGGTGGCAGATGAATTCCAATTTTAGTCAAGTCCCCAGTGTTTTCTCACTTTCATCACTAAACTTAGCCGACCCAACCCTCTAGAAGGTTGGTAGCATGGTTTAGCTCTGTGTCCACTATACAGTCCAGTATCAATAAAAACTGTTGAATGAGTGAATGATTGAGTTGCACGTTAAGATACCAGAAATGTAGACTTTTCCCACAAGATAATAAATCAATAATGCTGAGTCTCAGATTCAGATGTGAAAATAAATGGTTCGATTCCTTGAAAGGGATCCCTTGCCCTTTATGGGGAAAGGTTTTGTCCTATGTTCAAAAGTGTTATACAAAACCATTAATGAGGAACTTATGTTACACTCAGTGATGACAACCGCAAGCTGCTTGCTATGGCCTGAACATTTGTGCCTCATCCCTAATATTCATGTGTCAAAATCCAAATCCCCAAGGTGATGTTATCTGGAGGTGGGGCTTCTAGGAAGCGCTTAGGTCTTGAGGGTGGAGCCCCCATGAATGGGATTAGTGCTCTTCTAAAAGAAGCCCCACAGAGTTCCCTGAGGACGCAGTGAAAAGTTTTTGATCCAGAAGAGGGCCTTCACATGCCCACACTGGCACCCTAATCTTAGACATCAAGGCTCCAGAACTGTGAGAAATACATTAATGTTGTTTATAAGCCACCCAGGTGGTGGTATTTTGTTATAGCAGCGTGAACAGACTAAAACACTCCTCCACAAAACTCCCTAATGCAAGAGTGCACAAACTTGAATTTCCCCAAAGGTCTTGTTATACTTGAGAAAATGGTGAGTGCCACAAGTTATCTGTACATAGTTCCCAGCCATAAATGAAATAAATGGAAGTTAATACATTCTCTGTCATCTTAAACTATTTTATTTTCTCATCATCATCGGTAGGATTACCCTGAATTTTCTGAACCTTATTTCTTCTCACTGAACTTTAATAGATTACACAAACATTCCTTTTATATTTATAAGAAGACAGTTGACAGAGAAAGTACCAAAAAGGCGGAAGAGGATGCTTCCAGGAAGACAGTTGGCTGGGTCACTAAAAGGCCTTTGGACCTTACTTTGAAGAAGACAAATTACTGGGTTACTATCTTGTCCTTTACCTCAGTAAATTACTGTGAGTCTTCTTAAAGTACAGTACTGCTTTATAGAGCCGGATACCATGTGGTGATAATTACACAGAGGAAAGACTTTCTGAGATCCAAGCAGATGAAATTCTCAGACCACAAGTCAGAGACAACATCGGAACAAAAAACTTCATTTCACACAATTTGGTAAAAACCGTGATTGGGTCAATTTTCATTTGAATGCAGACTCGCCAGATAGTATGAGCTAAGGAAAGGAGAAAGGAATCGAATCAGGTGTGTGTTTGGAGAGGGAGGGGTGGGGGAGTGATGGTGAGATTGCAATGTTTGTTGCAAGGCACCTGCCAGCAAAGCCGACGATGATAAGGCATATTTATTGATTTATCTGTTTGTTAAAACGCTGCTCTTTGGGCCTCAGAGACAAGAGCTGGTCTTATTAAAGTTGGAACGTGTGACTAAAAATTTCTAAAGGGGAAGGAGCAGGACTGTGGGGGAACAGGAAGGTGAAAAGAGAGGACATCGACCTGCTGGGGACAAGAACCACTCTGAGACCACTGTCCTTGAGTCCAAGCGGTGGGCATTTCAGCCATGTAGCGGTGAGAGGCTGTTTCAGAAGTTCCTTTTAAGTGTGTAATCAAAACTAGTGCTTCAAAGCGGGAGGATAGTAATACTTGCAAGGAGAGGTCAAGAGGGTACAGGGTCTTCCAATACGTTCATGACAAGAAGGAATTAACCGAGTCACATACCAAACAAGTAGATGCAATTAAAAGTAAAGAAGTCTCTTAATTCTTTCAAGTATTAGTCATACACTTGAGAAGCTGAAGAATCAGGAAAAGTCTAATCCCGTCCACTGGCCTTAAAAAACTAAAACTATGAAGACTGTGGTTCGGCGAAGCAGAAAGAACAGTCTGCAGGCCAGAGCCACCAAGAGGGCGTCCATGACTGATCGGCCACTTCCCTGCACCTGGACCCCAAGCCCGGTCCAGGGACTGGCTCCTCTTCCCCAGTTGCTGTCTGGTTTCACCACGGCCACCTGGCTTCACTTCACAGGCACCAAGGCAACCACGGGCCATTGGGAGCCTTATCCCAGAACATGAACTTGGAATCACAGCTGGATGAGGCTGGGGGAAGAGTATTACTTTGATAAAACAAGTACTGAGTGAAAGGCCCACTCCTCTTTTCACGGAGTAGGAATGGAGCTCAGCAGATGCCACATTCTTCCACATCTCGTGTGAACGGTACCACCCAAATGCCATGTGAGAAACCTCAGACACTTGCTTGATTCCTCCCGCTCAGTCTTTCACCGCCTCCAATCATTCACCAGAGGCTGTTGCCCTTGCCCCAGAAGCTTTCCTGATTCCTTCCTCTCTATCTTTCAACACATCCGATTAGCCACCCAAAGCTGTCTGTCTAGTTCTAGAGTGAGACCTGACTGCAATGGGCACCCAGCAAGGACTGGCCCCGTTATCACCGAGAGCTGCCAGCTGTGATTGCAGGTCCTCCAGGAGGCATTCTAGAAAAGAGGAGCACAGTTCGTCCCCAAATCAAAAATTTTCAAAAATATTTTCAAATATTTAAACTTGAACCTATCAATGAAGACATACTTATAAAAGCTGATACGCAGGTTGGTTCTAACCTCTGTGTATTAGCAATATTGATGGTAACCCTACAGCAAGGAGACCACTGCAGGACAGAGGTGAGTGTCCTGTGGGTGCACATTTTAAAGCTTGATTCCCAGACACGGGCACCATGCTCCACCCAGTCACAGTGCACTGGATGAATTGGCCTGGCTACCACTGGGATCATGTGCTGCAGGTTTAACAAAAAGATAACATCTTTCAATTTTGTGTGTGTGTGAACATTAATGTAGAAGCTAAAATTGACATATTTTTATGTAAAAGTTTTCTATTTTTTGATTTTCAATAAATGTTGGAAACCAAGAAAAATAAATAAAAAGCCTTACTTCCTTAACTGAGTCATCATCTCTCACCAGGATTTTTGCAAAAGCCTTCCAAACAGCCTCTCTGCTCCCAGCATCACTCCATTCCAGTAGTCCCTCCTCACAGGTTCTGGAATGATCTTTCTAAGGAACAAATCTGATCAAGTTCTGTCTTGTATTCCAACAGCTCCCCAAGGCTCAACTCCTTCACGTGGCTTCTTTGGTCCTTTACTACCTGGCTGCAACCACCACCCACCTTCAGCTCCCCATGTCACCTCCCACCAGCAAAGGCTCAGCGGAGCAAGCAACTCGCCCTTTGGGGAACAAACTAGTCCCTTTGAAGCCATTAATGCTTTTGAGTTAACTATGCCACCACCAGGAACTAGTCCCCACCCTGGCACTTCTGCCCAGCAAAGTCTGGCTCATTTTCAAACCCTATCTCAGATTTCATCGCCTTGGTAAAGTCTTCCCAATTCCCAGGGCAGATGAGTCATTTCCCCTTCTCTGTCCCAAAGCACTTTTATGAATACTTCTATTGCACCACTCTACCTATTACGTTACTTGTTTACATAGCATATATATTATATATACATCTTCTTAATATAAAGCTCCCACCATAGTCCAACATGCAGCAGTGTTCAATAAATATGCTCTTGGCCTCCCTTCCCTATTAGACTTTGAGTCATCGGGGAAAGGGGTTCTGCTTTATTTGTGTATCCTCAGCATTAACACAGTGTCTGATACACAGTAGGTACATAGCATATAGTTGTTGAATAAATCAATGATTGAATGAAAAGATCCAAGTGAGGCAGGGAATAAACATTATTCTTATTTCATACTGGGGGAGACTGAGGCCTGAAAATAGCATTAGTTAAGGTTTATGGCCAATTCAGGGTGAAAAATAAGGCTATTTGCCTTCTGAATAGGTGTTTTAACTCAACATAAGAACTGTGATTTAATGATTTTATTAGAGGAAATGTTTATAGTCATGAGCCTTACCCCCAAAGGTTCCATATCCTTCCTTCTTCCTAATAATAACAAGCCACATGATTATTCTCGTCAACACAAACTCTCTGGCAGACACTTTATTGGTTAACCCAACAATTATTCTCAACTTTCCTTCTTCTCTGCTCATAGAGGCAAGATTCCCATCATAGAGGCAAGATTTACTTCTTTTTTATGGTGGAATAATATTCCATTATATATATCCAATTTCTTCATCCACTCACCCATTGAAGAAACACCTAGGTTGCTTCCATGTCTTGGCTATTGTAAGTGATGCTGCAGTGAACATGGGGGTGCATATATCTTTCTGAGTTAGTGTTTTCATTTTCTTTGGATAAATAGCCAAATGTGTAATTGATGGATCATATGGTAGTTCCAGTTTTAATTTTTTGAGGACGCTCCATACTATTTTCTATAGTGGCTGAACTAATTTCTATACCAACCAACAGTGCAGAAGGGCTCCATTTTCTCCACATTCTCACCAACACTTGCTAGTTCTTGCTTTTTTGATAATAGCCATTCTGACAGGTGTGAGGTGCTATCTCATTGTGGTTTTGATTTGCATTTCCCTGACAATTAGTGATGTTGAGCATCTTTCCATTTGCCTGTTGGCCATTTGTATGTCTTCTCTGGTAAAATGTCTATTCAGATTTTCTGTCAGATTTTAAATCAGATTGTTTGATTTTTTAAATTTATTTATTTGCTCTTGAGTTGTATAAGTTCCTTAGATATTTTGGATATTAGCTCCTTACCAGAGAGATG